AAGCAAAGTATTAAAGAGTGAACAAGATAACAAATACAAAACATATTAGTACAAACATTAAGGTCCATGTTGAGTTTACACTATACTTATTCTTACATCATTAGTGTAACGTTTTCACCTTGGCATAATAAACTTAGCTAAACATAATAAAGAGAGAAATATAAATAAACAAGATTCAAATATAAATAAGATAAAACTTAACTAAGTAAAGGAAAGAAAATGAAAGGCATAAACAAGATATTAATTAAAGCAAAGCATAAGCATTATAAAAATATAAAAAGAGAAAGCAAGAGCATGATCTTGATCGGGAAACCAAGATGCCTAAATGCATGATGAATGCCTCTTTTTATAGGAAAAAATTGAAAACTATTGATTTGATGATTAATTGATGAATAGGTCGCCAACTCTTAACTTGATAACAATCTTTATTTTCTTGTTTGAACAACACGTCATTGCTAACATCAGAATTGGAACCAACTGTACCATGAAAGTTCTAAGAAATTGTCTTATCTTTCTAGGAAAAAAAATTAAGATCATTTGAACTTCTAGAACTCAAGATATGGGTTGAACACTGAACAATATTTGGGCTGTAGGATAGATTCAAACTTCTTTATTTTGATATAATTTGGACTTGAAAATAGCTTTTTGAAACCAGAACTTCACATGAAAGTTGTAGGCCTATGTCTTACCTTTCTAGCAATATAAAGTAGACCTATATCTGAGATCTATAGCTACAGATATGACCCAAATACCAAATAGTGTTCGAGTTTGGACTGCACTAGTATCTCTTTTTTAAGTTTAGCCATCTCTTTGTCCTTTCAATTTTAATACTTAAACTCATTAATCAATCCTTTCATTTATGTGATAAGCCTGCACTTAAAATGAACATTTACCACAAATTAAATGTATATTATTTTATTAGATATGTTATTATAAAACATGCTTTAATTAAAGAGTTATTGATACTTCAAGGGCAAAATGATAATATAAAACCTTGATAAAAATAAATTTTTAAGTACTAATCATAAGATTAATATGAAGATTAAATAATAATAAAAATAGTTATCAAGGTTAGATGATTCACTAATGATATTTCAAATAAGTATAATATAAACTCTTTTTATTATTCAATTGGAAACCACACACAAAGGAAGTTTCAATTAGATGATTTGTCATTAATAGCTCATAATAAATTATTAACATATTCATATTAATTATCTTATTTAAGTAACACCAAAATTTTAAATATTTTCAGGAATTCATAAAGTTAACTTATGTTAACAACAAATTAAGTTCCTTTCATAGCACAAGTATAAGTTATACCATACAGTTGGCTATGAAACTGTCAAACATTTATTATACCAAGTTTTATACAATACAAATTTAGACGAATCATTTAATAAGGTATTAAGAATTAATAAAATAAAAATAATAAGACATGCTGTCAAACATTTATTATACCAAGTTTTATACAATACAAATTTAGACGAATCATTTAATAAGGTATTAAGAATTAATAAAATAAAAATAATAAGACATGTTAATAGTAAGTTGTTTGAGATATAATCATTAAAGTCCAAATTGAGTTTATATTATACTTATCCTAACACCATTAGTGAAACCTTTTCACCTTAACATAATAAACTTAGCTAAACATAATGAAGAAGAAAACATGATCTTAATCTGAAAATCAAGATGCCTAAATGCATGACAAATACCTTCTTTTATAGGTCAAATTTTAGAACTATTGATTTGATGACTAATTGTTATGTGGGTGACCACCTGCTAACTTAGTAACAATTCTTATCTTCTTGTCTATTGAAAATGTCATTGTTATCTTCAAAATTTGAATAAATAGTCTTCATGAAAGTTCTGGAAATTATTTCATCTTTCCAATAAAATAAGAATAAGGTCATTTGAACTTTTAAAACTCGAGATATGGGTTAAATAATGAATAATGTCTGCGTTGTATGACAGATTCTGATTTTTCTGTTGTTGCTACAATTTATGAATAATGTCTGTGCTGTATGACAAATTCTGATTTTTCTGTTGTTGCTACAATTTGAACTTGAAAACAATTTTTTTGAATCTTTGACTCTTCATAAAAGTTTTAGGCCTATGTCTTAGCTTTCTATTCAAGTTCTACAGCTTCAATTATGATCCAATAACCTAATGGTGTTTCAATTTGAATTCAACCAACATCTCTGTTCTAAGTTTAGCCCTTTCTTTGTCTTTTCAATTTTAGTAGTTAAACGTTCTAAGTTTAGTCCTTTCTTTGTTTTTTCAATTTTAGTAGTTAAACTCATCAATCAATTCTTTAATTTATGTGATGGTCTTTATTTAAAATGAACATCTACCATAAATTAAAGGTATCTTATATTATCAGGCTTATTATTATAAATTATGCTCTAGTTAAGGAGTTACTGATACTTCAAATACAAAATAATGATATAAAACCTTGATAAAAATACATTTTTAATTATTAATCTGACATCCTATCATAAATCCTAACACCTTTATGCAGGCCACCTCATATAATATAACACCTTTATGCAGGCCACCTCATCGTGAATCTCTAACATAACATATTTGTTTGGGTCATCTTATTATGGATCCCACCCTTAGAATTGTAAATCACAACAACTGACGTAGAAAAAAACAACATACTAATTCATAGATGCTTTTTTTTCCCAAGAAGAACCTCCTCATCTTTTTTCTACATGTGCACATCCCATTTTAGAAACCTCTTTTAGCCATGATTGTTTTGAAGCACACAATAAAGCAAAATAACCACCTAGGATCATTAGACTCTAATACCAACTAATACATATAAAAGCTAATAGGACATCAACAACATAAAAAACACATAAATATTTGATGAGTAAAAAGGGTTGCAAATGTAAACCTTAAATTTGCATTTTTATTCTTTGAAAAATAAGTATTTGATGGTTGTCTCCTCAAGAAATTTACAATATCTAAAAATAGAAAAGAAAACATTACCTCTACTAAAACCAACTAAAATTTCAAAAGTATAAAAGGAGATTAAAAACAAAATCTGAATTAAAATAATAAAACAAAAAAACTTAGGGAAAATAATAAAATTGGCCGCAACAACAACTTATAGGCCTAATTCTAGGATATTCAACGATTCTATTAGTGATAAAATAGATTTTTAAAGGAAAATTATTAGAATAATTACCTAAAAAAGTTCGATCTCTTATTATCACCATGTTAAATTGTTAATATAATCTAGTGTGACTAGATCTTTTCTTGAATCTAGATCTATTCTCCTAATTTATAAAAGTATTTGGTGGGTTATACACATGGTCTATATGGGTAAAATCATTTTCTAGTTGTGTCAAATTCTTAATTAAATGTTTAGAATCGTCACTTTCCATAAGCCTTGTTGCATCAGTATCATATAAGCTACTTTCCTAATATACATGATTCCTTTATGAGTTTTTAAAAATAGATCATAGATTTGATTTACTCTAAGGTAAGTCGTTGAGCGCATCACAATCCTTGTTTATGCCTCCCCTCATAGTTGATCCATTTGCTTAATTATGTTTGCTATAAAATGCTCTCATCAACCAAAACTTAATGATAGGGTTCTCTGTGTTGTCTCTTGTGCCTTTATAATGTTTTAGATGACCTCCACTTCTGCATTGTGAAGTGGGAACTGGTTGCCTGTTCCTATGTTCATCAAGTTCGCTAATATATTCTAATACTAATTAATGCAATGTACAGCGCAGGTTTCTCAAATCTAAAATTTTACAACTTTAAATTGAAGACAAAAAACTAAGATTTCTCAAGTATAGAGAAAAACTCAATTGAAAAGTTATGAATAAATTTTTTATTAATAAATCTCTTATTTGCCCTGGAAATAAACCAAACAATTTTAGTTATATCAATACAAAATCTGAAATTTTTATAAGGAAAGATTTTTATTAAAAGTTGGCTCATAAAATCTAATTAGTATTAGAATTCTTAAACAAAAAAACCCCTAGAAATCTAAATAATGAATTAAATATTATAATAAAAATAATTATGCCTTAAAATGAGAAAAAAAAATATCGAAAAACGCCAAGCTAGACAGAAGTTTCAAATGACATAGGCTGAGATATAATGGTAGCATTATCTAAAGCTAGCAAGAGTATATTATACTGTCAACTTGTTTCATCTCTGTATATTCCCGGAAGAGAACATTATGCCAAATTGAGGTCATACACACACATATATACATATATATTTCAATTCAATTGCAAGTGATCTTCCGATTTCCTAAACTTTCTTAAACATCTGCAATAAAATATATATATATATATAAAGAGAAGGCAAGAGCTTTGAAATCAAGCTATAATATACTGTTCTATGAACGAGCTCAAAACCCGACTAACAAGTCAGCAGAAGCTTCAACTTGGCATCGTTGCGTGTACATGAGGATACTGATCAACCCTGTCATACCATCATTATTTCAGAGCTCCATCCTGACCTCTCAAATGCAGTGTATATCCCTTTCTATTCACAAGATATGGGTGCCAACGTCTAGTATTTCGTTCAGAGAATTGAAGCTAGTCTTGGGCTTCATCTTCGTTCAATGAGAAGATATCAACAGGGGAGCATGTATAGTCAACAAGACTATGAGCCAATCTACCATTTGAAGAACGTAGTGGATCATCTAGATACACCACAATGACAGTGATATCATCGTGGATATGGCGTCTCCCTCCTCTTCCAATTCTTTTTATATCATCATATCTCATTTCTGTTTTCCTTGCAGCCTCCTGGATGGCAGCTCTCACCAATCGCTTTGCTATTCCCTGTAAAGAAAGCAGGCACTCATTTTTCAGAACAAACAGAAACATCTTTTTTCTACCAGTGCATCATTAGTTATGGTTAAGACTATTTACATAAGGTGAAAGAAGTTTTCAAAAGTAAGTGCAAAGAAACAAATTATAAAGCAAAAATTTACAAAAACAAATAATAGGGGAGACATTACAAATCGGGGGCTTCTCAAAACTATATCGACGGCTGTTTTGTCGCTTATTTGCTCCCAAAGACCATCTGATGCAAATATCAAGAACAAGTCTTGTGGCTTTAGCTTTCTCATCAGTATTGATGGTTCTGCCGTCATCACAGGCCTTGTTAAAGGAAAAGGAAATCCAAATGGCTGAAAATGAGGATCTCTGTTGAACTCAGGTTTCTTTAAATAGATGTCTCCTATTGATCTTGAAACCTGCAGTAGAGAAGTTTTAAATAAACCTAGTGCATCACAAGCTGTAGACTGTCACTAGAAAATTTAACGAGACGCTGATTTCAATCAACAACACAGCACCTGCTTGTAGTTCATAAAAAAGTCTAGAAGCTCAAATTATTGCAGTCATGCAGCATAACTTACGCTTGATTCCATTAGAGCCACAGAGCTTGTATTATAAGCTCAAGTTACAAAATAAAGTACAGATGCTTGCCATGCTTCACGAATGTTCAGTTTGCCTATGTTATGGCATGGCTACTGTTGGAACACAGAGCTTTATATATTGAAACACACATCTTATAAACCATTCTTCAAACTACTCCGATCTAAGAAAACATAGCCAGCATGTAAAACTACGGGGAGGAGAATGTTTTACCCTTTCCCATTTGAGAAACACGATGTGACTAGCAAATACAAGTTACGGAAGTTCAGGTAAGGACTTTAAGAAGTTCCGTTTCATTCACTCTTCACAAAGTATTATTTGCAAACTTTAGAGAATTGTTTTCAAGATATTATTAGGAAGATGTTGGCGTGGAATATAGATAATAATTTCTATACCTTCAACGAAAAGAGGTAGATTGTTTCAAGGTTCTAGAGATCATACTTATCTTGAAAAGATTTCATAAATAACCACCAGGACAAGCACAGCCATGAAACTACCACAAAATAAAACTGCAATAGTACAGGTGAAAAACGAGAAAATATCAAGAAATATGAAGGAGCATGCGCACTATTTGCAAGAGAAGGACACAAAGATATACCATTTAAATCTAATAATCTATCAGTAATTTTCTAATCCATTGACTCTGCAAGTCTGATTCTAAATGAAGTTGGGAATGAAACACATGACTAGCTATAAACTCCATTGGTATACAGAGAGGAATTATCAAGCAAAAGTACAATAACCAAGTGTAGACTGCCAGAGGAATCATAAAAGAGTCAGCTTCATGGTCCTAGCAGTCAGGACCCGAAGAACATGTCCCTTGAAGCACAAGCATGCTTATTAAACATTAAACTCATCATTGGCGAGAAATTAATGACAGAATGCAAACTTAAGATGGTGACTGTGTCCAACATCAGCATTCAAAGGCATTTTGTATCGCTGCAGGATCAAATACTAACAAAATATTAAGCATAACAGCTGCATATCGGGACAAATAAAGAATTTTGCACAGATTCATTAAATCTTTAGTTTAAGCTTGCGTCCATCCAAACCAGTTTACGCAATCGCCGCTCATGCTGGACCAAGTCCTATTAGATAAATGCAAAACCAAGAGAATTTCGACATCCACTATGAAGCAGGAGTACTAAAAAATTGATACCTGAATTATGCCCTTTATCCGCCAAACTCCACGAGTATAAACCACAATATGTGCATCGTCAGGATGGAGTGCCTCCACCTCCTTCCTCACCTCCTCATCGCTGACATTGTGATCAGTAGTTAACCTTTCTGCCACCACTGCACTATTTTCCTTGCCTTCAGATACTTTTCTACCAAGCACTACTCTCGAATCCCCGAGATTTGCCACATATAAAACATCATTTGATATTGCCCCAACAAGGCAGCAAGAACCCACAGATGCCATCTGAGGCCGAGCTATCGATGATTCCTTTACAAAATGTAAGAATTCCATTTCTGTAGCATCAAATGCCTTTCTTATCGCCTCTGCAGATAATCCTCCTTGTTCTGTTGCAAACTCTGATAGCGAAAACCATTGAATTAAGAGCAAGACGAATAAAGAAATGAAAAATATTAAAACATTGTCCAATTGAGTTACTATATTGTTTTGATTTAACCAACATGGAATTGCCTATAATAACGATGACCCAAAAACATAAGGTTTTCATTTTGCTGTTGACATTTTTTTTTTTAATCAAGTATTCTCACAACATCAATAATCCAACTACCCACTTTTTTTCTTTTCCTGCACCTTCCCGGAGACCAAACTTGGCAAAATTAAGCAGACGAAAACTAAAGAAGCTAAAGCCTTGGTCTATTTTCTTTTAATATTTTTTTTCCAGTTCAAATTCCAAAAAATGCAACACGGGCCAAAGCAGAACCAAAGCTCCACCAAAGTGGAATAAGAAAACGGTAAACATTACGAAAAATTAAGATCATAAAACCTTTCATTTTCTTCAACTTTCCCACTCTCTCCCAAAACTAAAAAAAAAGAAAAAACAAAGAAGCAAAACTCACTATGGAGGAAAGGGAACAAATGGTGAGTGAGAAAGCGAGAAGCCTCAGGGCCGCCATGGCCATCATAAACACCAACATAAGTAGCAGAAGGAGAAGTGAACACTTGTCCCTGGTCCTCAAGCAAGGAGTTAGCTTGAACCACAGCAATTGAATAATCTCCACAAGCGTAAGGTTTCAAGTCCATATGCCATAATAGCCCATCTCCACCACCCTCCCCTCGTAAACATCTCATTAATGGCCTTGTGCACATCTCCAAGAAAATGCCCTTCTAATGAAAATCACTCTCTTTGTCTCTGTGTTTGATTTATGAGATAGTCTAGGTGCACAAACTGAGGACAGAGAAGGGGGTGGGAGGGGGGGGGGGGGTTTGGGACTTGGGACTTGAGGTCTTGAGAATGGTTCAAAGTAAACGGTTAGGACAGTGGAAGTTTCAAGGGTTTTTTTTTCTCCTTAGCTGATGTGGACTTGAGAAAAAACTTGTCTTCAGCTTTTGTCAGATTAGAATCTAATTGGCTTGGTGTTTTCGCTCAGACCAATTCCTGTTTTTTCTGATTCTGTGACTTGTCTCCTTTTCTTCACCTGACTGATTGGTTATTGCCTACTGGGTGTGTGGGCAGTGGTAGCGTTATTAAAATAGTTAAAAGTTTTTCAGAACGGTGAGGATTAGGTAGAAGTGTTTGGTTAAATATACAATTAGAAACGAGGTCATATTGAAAACAATTAAGAATTTATAAAATATACATTTGGTTTTCATTAATATATATATATATATATATATGATAAGCCAACTTTTGGCCTTTTGAGCTGAAAAGTGTCTTCAAATCCATACTAACTCTATTCTGATGACAAATTCATTCATAATAAATCCATAATGATTCAGAAAGTGATCGATTCCATAATTTTATTTTTATTTTTTGTAGTTAATCTTTGATTTTAACACCAACGAGTGTATCAATATCGGTATTATTCAAATATGTACATAAATTTTTTTGTTAATTTTTAGGGTAATATAATTGAACTTTGAACTTTGAAGAACAAAAAATGAAATTACATATATGGTTGATGGAGTGATTTGTAGTTCTCCCATACTTTTATGGTTCTCCTCCTCGCTTCCCAAATGGACTGAAAATATCCCATCGTTTGTCTCCCCTGCGGGAAGTTTTTATTTCTTATTCTTTCTTTGTTTCATCATTCAAGAATATTTATTTTCCATGGAAGTCGGCGTAGGTATATCTGTTTACAAGACCTACGACATCACGTTGAAAATTCTTTTGTTTGAACTTTGAACAAAAGCCAAGAAACTAGCCCTTCTCTTGAATGACGATTATTCCTTGACGTTTGGAACGTGTTGCTCTTTTTCCTGCCTCCATAGGTTTTACCAAGTAGCTGACAGAGATGGGTGTTGTTTTTTCCGGCGACATTACCCCATATTATGCGTCTCTGCTCATAGCTATAACCAATGTTTCTTCCAAAATTTGCTTTGATTGATTGCAGCGTGAAACACTACAAGAAATGGTTTGTCAATCTGCTTCGGGACTTTACATATAATTTACGAGCAGAATTGCTGCCTGTGATTAGGGTGAATAATTGATTGAAATTCTGGATGATATTACAGAATGAACAATAGTTTCTTATTGTCTTGGGCTGTAGGAGTTCCTCCAATCTAACATATCACACTATCATATTGTTTATCAGAAAGATAATAATTATGCGATAAACCATTTACTAATCAATTGAATAATTATTAATTTTCTCATCAATATGCTATATGTTCTTCGTTTCCTCCTCCCAAATAAAAAAATAATAATCTACAATTAGATAGTTAATTTCAAGAAAAAATAAATAGTAAACTTTCAAAATCAAATGAATTGTACATGTTTTAAGATTTAAACCTTAAAAAAGAGTGAATTTGTCTCACTTAATACCAAGCAAAAGCCAAAACATGAAGGTAATAAATAGAATGCTTGTAAAAGAAAGAAAGAAAAAAAAGCACCACTGAAAAAATAGATAAAATAAATTGAAGGTAAATTTCATAAAGAAAGTTTTATATCGCCCTTTTTCCTAGTAATTAGATGACCTGTTTATAATAATATAAAGTTAAAGTATCATATAAATATCTAATTCTAATCATATAGATATTGTTATTATTAAATAAGGAGCTCACATATTGAATTTTAATACAAAATAAATTTTTTGAATAAACTTATATAAGATATAGAATCATTATATTTAGTTTGAGTTTTTATATCTTGTAAATACTGATATATTGTTCGGTAATAAAGATGAAATGCTAAAAATAGGAATTCAAGATTTATTCCTACTTAGTTGGCTGTAAGGAAGGAAGAGAGAATACGAAGAGTGGAAATGAAAATGTAAATTAAATATAATTTTATACGTGGAAGGAAAAAATAAAATAAGAAATGAGAATATGATGTTTTTAATTAAAAAAATCATTGTTCATTGTATATATATATAGCAGTGAGAAGAATATGTCGGAGCACCCAAAAAATTATTAAAGATTGATTGAGAAATTTTAAAAATATAAAGATTAAAATTTAAAAATATATTTTTGACTAATGAAGGTCCTATTGACAAAGAAAATTCAATTTAAGAAAGAAAAATTCAAAATTAAATGTTTAAGGACTCAATTAGATTTTGTTAAATAATTAATTGAGATTTGAATGCAAAAAAAGTTGTTTTAAGTCAATTTAGGCTTTAATTAGAAGAAATTAAAGTTTAGAAGTCAAATTATAATTTTTAAAATTTAATTTGATCAAATCAAGGGTTTAATTGCATAAATATTCAAGTTTTATGGGCAATTAGAAACTTGATTGAAGCAGTCTAAAATCAAAGACCAAACTAGAAGAGGCACGTAAATATAGAGGCTGGAATTGACTGAATCAAAGGCTAAATTAAAGAAATTAAAAATTAATTGATTAATTGAGGGTCAAAATTCATAAATTCAAAACCAAGGATCAAAGTGAAAAATACGACCAACTTTAGAGCTAATATTTGAATTTGGTAAGAATAAAATTGAATTGATTCTTAAAATCAAAATTGCAATTGAGAACTTAATTGAATTAATAAAAAATTAAAGACTGATTTGAAAATTGACATGTTTTGTCTCATTTTTCTTTTCATTGAAATGACGTGTTTTTTTCAAAACAATGTCATTTCATTCATTATTCATTAAAAACAAAAAGATGCTCCTAATAATGTCATTTTGAATGGCACCATGCATATTCTTTTTCCTCTAGATGCACACAGGCAAGGAAAGAAAAAGATTGTTCCCCTCCATTGCCTCTCTCCCTCTCTTTCCCATAAACCCAAAAAAACCCAACACAACCCACACCCATGGCCTACCACGATTTGGAAAAAAAAAAACAGAGGGGACAAACCATGTGAAAAGCTCTAGGGCGGCCACCCAACCACCCTACTCATTTGGTGTGATTAGACATAGTAGAGTGGCTCTCTCCCCTCTTCTTTTATAAATACTGAAGGGGAAAATGAAAACGTAGAGGATGAACAAAAAGGAGAGACAACCAAGAGAAACACAAGGGATGACCAGAGAAAAGAAGACAACAAAAGAGAACTAGAAAAACAACAAAAAAAAAAGTTGAAAGAGGGAGACAGAAGAAAAAGAACAAAACAAAGAAAAAGAGAAGGAAACAGATGATGAAAAAATACAAAAAGGAAAGAATTAAGAAAAATTAAGAAAAAACATAAATGAAAAGGAGGTTGAGGATAGATGAACAAAAAAAAAAGGAACATATGAGAAGAAAAAAAAGAGAAAAATAAAGCATATAGAGAATAAGAGGAAGAATCACCAACTAACAAAGTAGCTCCTAGTACATGCCCATCTCATTAGGAATAAGAACCCCTAGCACCATCATCAACACCATCAAAAGCAGCCACTAGGTTAGTTTCCCCTCCCCTTCTTCCTTCTTTTTCTTCTTTTTCTTTGGCATTATTTTTACTATTTTGCTAGTGAACAGTAAAGAGTGAATTATAATTCACTCTCCACTATAAGTAGCATGTGAATAATGAAGAGTCCACTATTCATAGGTCAGATAGGGTCGACCTAAACCAAAATATGTTTTGCTAGGTCCAGTTCAATCTCCTTTAAAATAATTTTGTTAGGCTGACATCAGATCAACCCTAATTTTAGGCTACTATTAGCCCAACTATTTTGGGTTGAACTCAGTCCAACTAGGCTGGGTTCAACCTATATAATTGAGCTAAGCTCATCCCTATATATTATTTTCAAAGAAATTTTAATTTTCTTGTGTATTTTTCTATTAATTTTGATTAATATAGTTTGTATTTTTATACTATAAAAATACAAATATGATATTAAAATACTTGATTTTTTTAAATGTTGCAAAAAAAATTATATAGAAAAAAAATATATATTTTAGTTTCATGCGTACAACCAAGTCTCTTAAGTTTATAAGAAATTTTCATATAATAAAAAATTTAAAAAATATACGTATTAGCATATATTTTGAGTTATAATAACTAGTTTATTAAATTTATGAGAATTAGGCTAATATTTTAAAAATACCAAAAAAATTATTTTCTTTCTTCTAATATCTAAGATTACAAACTTATACATATTATGTATTGCTAATATTAAATAAAAGTTAGATCTTTTTTTGAGATTACAAACTTGTACATAATACATATTTCTAATATTAAATTAAACTTAGATTTGTTTTTTGTTGACATTAGAATAATTAGGTTTTACTATATAAGTTAAGAATCTCCTTACTAAGGAGGACTTTTCTAAGATAAGGATTTTCTTACAAAAAAAAACTTTTCTTAAACTTTAAACAGACCAACCATTAGAAAACATGTAAACACCTTAGTTTACATCAAATAATTAAACAATGCAATCTACCTTAGATAAGGCATATTTGGAGTGCTAAGACATTCCTTTTACGCAATCAATTTCCATGCCCGATAAATGAGAGTAGTTAAGGTTTCTAATGATTAAAATACTAAGTGGCAACTCTCATCCCCTCTTACCACTAATAAGATAAGCAATCCGCATCTCCTCTATTTCCCAATTTATACATCCTATAGTGAAAAGCATTGTCATGACAGTGACAAGCCTAATTTCAAATAAACACAATGTTGAAAGATAAATTAAGAAAAAAAAAGTTAATAAGAAAAAAGGAGAAAAAACTAGAGGCATCTGAGTTAACTCATCAAACCTGTAGTTCAGGTCATGATAATGAGATAACCTTATAAAAAGTAAATTGAAAAAATTATGGAGATCAATTCTCAATATATCTAATGTTGAAGGATAAAATTGAAATTAAAAAAATTGATTAAAAAAACATAAAAAAAGACTTCAATCAACCTGAGTTAATCTGTCAAACCCTTGACCCAA